AAGTAATCAGTAAAGTAACGGGATTACTTTTTGGGGGAAGTAATCAGTAATTAGTTACTGATTACTTTTTTCAAGTAACTTGACCAACACTGGCTACAACACAACTCAAATGTAGGAATAACTTCTTAAAAACAATGATGCTAAAACTACTTTCCACTACACTTAAAAACATTGCTTAATATGCTAATAGGCATGCTAATCAATGAGTTAATAGCAGTAGTATATGACTGTAGTATTTCCCTGAAGGTTTTTAAAGAGCATGTCATACTTTATGAAATGTCAACTATTTCAGTGAGCAGAAACCTCAATTAAAGGTCACAGTTCAGGCAGCTTTAAGCAAAGCAGTGTACCTCCCGTGACTCAGTGCTCTAGCTAACATGGCATTTGAACGTGGTATTAAATGTGGTGTTACTGCGAGGAGAGGAGTTGTAGTATATGATGAAGGACTCCTTCTTGTCTCTAAGAGAGCTTTTTGAATTGGCATAGTTCACTCCAATAATGCATTTTCATAGTGTCGCCGCCACGGAAAAACATCTGCTTCCTTTAACTGCTGCTTTTATATTTATAATATAATTATAATAGACTTCTATAACACAGCATCTATAACAGCTATGTTTCTTGCCTTCTCTCCCTATAAGTAGATATTTACATAACACGAAAGGAAACTATGATGCTATATATTATCAGTATCCCATAATTAGAGCCCCACACAAATATAGGTTGGGCCATGTTACTGACTCCATTATGTGCAATGCTCTCAGCACTTTTGCAGCAGAGGATACGTCACACCTGAACACACAGAGTTTGGTGCGTTCAAAGTAAGTTTCAAATCAGTTTGTGAAGTACATTATTGTAACGATAGTTTTAAAAAGAAGAGCTCCCATTGTTTCCTTTTCCATTATAGCTCTAACAAATGTTGAATGTAGGTTATATATAGTCTCTCAGTTTCTGTCACCGTCAACCTTAAAAAGTTTTCTGCATTCATTATTCCATCAATATTAACAAGATCTCCAACACTACTGGCCGAAATGCAGCTCTAAACCATGACAGAGCCTCCACCGTGTTTTACAGATGGCTGTAGACACACACTGTTGCAGCTCTCTCCTGGCCTCCTCCATACATAATGACAATGATTTCAACCAAAACTTATAAATTTAGAGTAATCTCTCCATCGCACCTGTTCCCACTGATTTTCAGACCAGTTATTGTGCAATTTGGCATATTTCGGCCTTTTCCCCCTGTTTTCCTTCCTTAAGAATGACTTCTTGACAGCCACCCTTCTGCATATGTTCCTGCATGTTAACTCTGAGGAGCACTTCCAGGCATTTATCACTTAAACTTGGCTGGATGTTTAATCATGGCTACACACAATATATTGTTCCTAAACAAACTTTATTTTGGAAAAACTCATACACTATGATTTGCCAGTCTTGAGGTGTGGAAGCCAGGATTACTAGGAAGTTCTCAAACAACTTCTGACTTGACTCTGGATCAGCTGGTCTGTTTATATAATTATGGCTCTTAAACGTTTTCTTTTTTCTTTTCTCGTCCCCTTTTAAAAAAGAATTCACTCCGACACTCCAGGAAGGTTTGTACACAAATATTATTTTTATTGATATCTGAAGCTGGGACTAGACAGCGTTCCATCTCAGAAGAAAAAGCACACACACCACACAGGAAAGGAAATGAGTAGAGTTAAATGGGGCCGCAGCCCAGGCAGTGAGTTCAACATGGCACACATAAACATCCTCAGAGTTCATATTTGTGCCACCCCCCCCGGGGTGGATTTGGGACTCATGATGAGCCACATGTCGAAATCGTATTTCCTCAGAAGGGGGGGGGGGCACCTATTGCAGTTCTTGCTGCACCACCTAGAGGGCGACAGCGGCCGTTATCATTTTAAGTCCTTCCCTGTTGACTATAGGGAAGCTGTTTTTAACAATGAAAGTCCTCAGTGCACAGTTTAAGTCTGCACGTGCTTCCAGATGTTGCAGTGTCAGAGGAAGCAGACGACCTCAGCTATAGCCACAGCCTGCAGCTGAGAGGAGGACTGTGAAAAATGCGAGCAAGCAAATACATTTTTAAAAACACATTTTAATGGCTTTTCCAGCGCACAAATGATCAGAACAGAATTATCCCAAAAGAGCCTTATACTATGAATCTGCATTTCTCAGATTCATAGGCTCTTCACTACCTACCAGAAGGCCGGACTTTCCAGTATGACAATATGCACGAGAACTTCTCAAGCTTCACCTTCCAGCCAGTGATTGAGCTCTCTTAGCCAAGTCTGTCTGCTGTGCTCCTCTGGAACTTCAGAATTGGATGTCAGTAATACGTAAAGTAATTATAACGATGCA